TTCATAGGCTGTCCCCCTGCCTGGAATGCTCTTCTTCCTCGTCTCCTCCTACCTTCCCTGGGTTCCTTCAAGTTCCAGCTAAGGGACTACCTTCTACAGGAAGCCTTTCCCAGTCCCCTTTAATTTAATGTCTTCCCTTTGTTAATAATCTCCAATTGATTCACAACATAGGTTTTTGCACGTTGTCTCCCCCCTCCCTCATTACACTGTGAGCTTTTTTTTAGGGTAGTTAACTGTCTTCTGTCTTTTTTTTTTGTGCCCCCAGCTTAGCACAGTGTCTGGAATATAGTAAGAGTTTAAAAAGGTTTATTGACTGATTGATGTATGCTTAATATTCAAATTCTGGTTTAAGAAAGGTGAATGTCATGATTTCCATGACATTTGACTGTTATATTGTCGTTCATTCTTCTGGAAAACAACCAATGACATCATGAGCATGAGACATCATGATGTCTTGATTTAGTAAGCTGGATTTGAGTGAGGCAGAGCTGGACAAAATATGAGTTTCTCCCTATCCTCCAGAATAATCAAAGTCCCTTGGCAAGACCAAGGTCAAGAAGACTGCCTATGGCCCAGGATGCAGTGGGTGACCTTGGTCTTTCAAAATTAAGGTCTTAGTCTAAGGCCACATCCATTCAATGATTAAGGGCTGGGTAAGAATTGAGACCAAAGATGGCCCAATTTACCATCCCAAAGATATCAATAAGGGAGCAGAAGACCCTCAGAGTTTGTGGCCAGAATAGAAAACAATTGCTATTTACACTAAGCCATCAAAACCTAAAAATGAGCCCCAGAGTTTGGTTGGCCTATGATTAGCCATTCAATGAAAGCAGGAATGATATAGTTTTAAAGGCTACTCAAATAGTTCCATTTAAACACAATGGGCTTTTTAAAAGCCTCTTTGGCTGTATACATAAAAGCTGTAAAATGATGTAGTGCTAACATTTAAATAGGGAAGTAAAGAAACAAGTCAAGTGTCCTTTTAGAATCTTAATGTCTTCAAAGGGTATTAAGAGATTAAATAAGAAAAATGAGTTCTGGGGTTCTGAGGGTTTGGAGAGAGAACCAGAAGGGAGAGCAAAAGGAAGAATAAAGTATTTAGTAGAGAGTTAGCAATATGTAAATTCTAGTTATTATTATTACAAAATCCTCAGCTTATTTAGAGCCTTTCACAATACAGTTCCCACCTACCTTTCTAGTCTTGTTTCATATTATTCCCTTTAATGCACACTCCTTCCAAGTCTTACTGGTGTGCTAAAACTTCCCCCCCGTGCACAATACATCTCCTGCCTCTTTGCTTTTGGATGAGTGGTCCCTCTACTCTGGAAGGTAAACCTTTCAAAAACCAGCTCAGGTAGCAGAGGCCTTTTCTGACTCCCTCGGTTATTAGCACTCTATCTCTTACTTCTACTGCTTAATTCTAATGTATTTGCATATATGTTTGATCTTCCATGTAGAATGTAAGTTTCCTGAGGTCAGAGATGGTTTCACAGTGGTTTTTATATCCTCAGTGCCTAGTATTGTATAAATTTAAAAAAAATTTTAGTCTATCCTTGTTATATAATTGATGTTAAGACCTCCCAGGGAGAAAATTCTCTTTACCAATCAAATGAGATATTTGTAAAGCATTTAGCACAGTTTCTGGCATATAGTAGGTGATATATAAATGCATATTTACCATTGATTTATTCATTCTCCAATGTAGATCTATAACCCGTAGTCTGA